CCTTGTTACTAATATCCGCTTTACTTCATGTGTGTGTGTGTATATGTGTATATATATTTATTTATTTATACATATATGTGTGTTCGTGTGTGTGACTGTGTTTTACACACACACACACACACACACACACACACACACACACACACACACACACACACACACACACACACACACTATATATATATATATATATATATATATATATATATATATATATATATATATATACACGTATATGTTCGAGGTTGGGAGGCTTGCTGCCATCCGATGTGAACGTAAGACCACCGCTTGCCACCGAATAAGAACGAGAGGCCTTTTCGCAGGTGGATGAAAAGGGTCTCGGAGTAGCATTAAAATCAAAAGCCAAAGACCCTCTGCGCACTCCCAGGTGTGCTGTGAGACGCAAGAGGCGACCCATATGTGCAGCCGTTTGTTTTTATAAGGACGAGCAGTTTGGGGAAGATGAACCCGGAGAGAATGCAGGGAAAAAAAAAGATTCAGCTGCACACTTGACGGAGACAAAGCTTCGCACACATGGGGATAATTATCGCTGGTTTCTAAGTCCCTAAAAATGGACCCTTGAAAACGCTTTTTTTTTTTTTTTTTTTTTTTTTGGCAAATTCACAAATGTTACTGTATTCGATGTACCAAGGGAGATCGAAAAAAGGAGAAAGGACAACATACAATGAACATGTTATTCCTGCAAGAAACGTGGATGTTAATGCAATGACGACCCAGAGAGTTATAACGTACGAGGGGGAGGTAATCCCCAAAACTATTAAAATGGTAGAGGGTCGTTTTGCTCTAATCGCTCAAAGTTGGGATACGGAGCACTCTGCTCTTCCACGAGAAGCACCGAGACGCTGGTACTTTGCTCTCCGTCATGTTCGTCTTTTCGGGGAAAAGACGAACTGGAATCTACAGCTAACTTCACACTATTACTAGAATTAATTTCTAGTTAGTTAAGCTAGTTTTTACGGCTAATCACGCCGTATTCTTCAAATGAGTTCCAGGAGTCAACACCGATTCACCTTCACTCAATGATTACCCGAACTGACTTCAGGAATTTTAGACCTAGGGGTGCCAGGGCCATCTAGATAGAGGCCTGATTGTTCGATGCTGAGATGGCACTTTGGCCCTTATCACGAGTTAAAGTAACCACCAAGATCGTCCACAAGTATTTCACCTCTAACATTAACACAACCTACAACTACAGCCTCACTACCACTCACTACCACCAACTCTATTTTGTGGTTTTATTTCCATACAATTTTATATCATCATAACTAATCAAGAGTTATGTTTTACCAATTAAATGCATTAATAATAGCATAATTAGAGTGTCACTGCTTCTGGCCAATATATATAACAAGCACAAAATTTATTGAAAATGAGAACACTCTCAAATCTTCCTGGATTTCAACTCCAGGTTTGAGCAGGAAAGGGAGAGGAAGTAGTCTCAGAGGGAGAAAGGGGAAGCACTGCAGTAAACACAGGGCAGGTGAAGACAGGTGAGTGGAAGTGAAGGGATGCCAGGTCAGGTTGGAGGATCAGGCAGTCTGTGCAAATGGTGGCCGACATAAGGAAGTAGGCAGAGGATATAGGAAGCAAGGAGACTGTCAGCAGAAGAAAAGACTAAGCTTAGTGAGACTAATGCCCGCCTCACAAGGAATGGTACAAGAAGTGTATGTACATGCCATACCAACTCCACTCCTAAAGAGACTCCTCACCTGCCTGTTCTCAGCCTGCTATACACTGAGGAGATCTTTACTCTGTCACCCTCTCAACTCAACAACGACTTCCTTCGTGATTTATTACTGCTTTTTTAACTAGAAATGCTCTGACAATGAAAGGATTTGCTCTGATACTTACTAACCAACATATCTTGCAGATTTTGATTATTTTTTTCCAGTTACTATTACATTTAGCAGCATCAAAAAATCAAGACTGGTGCAAACACTTTTATTCTTATTAGGATACTGTTTTTGCTGATATTTACGAAGTTTCTTTCTTACTATTTCAACATTTAGTTTATATAATCAATCACTTATTTTTCTCACATTATTAATGCACTTGTTTTTGTTTTTGCAACCTGTATGATCTAAGAAGTTATTTGGCTCAAGCAATTTCCAAAGTCCTTGTTTTAATATTTCTTTTCCCAGCTGTCAATGTGTTCTACTCACTATCTCGGTGTATTTAGTTCTACCCAACTAGCTAAGGTGAGAAAGTTAAGAATTTAGTTCTTGTTTTAATATTTCTTTTCCCAGCTGTCAATGTGTTCTACTCACTATCTCGGTGTATTTAGTTCAGGAAAATGAAGATTATTAGTGGAAGGGTGAAGGTTATCGGATTGGAAAAGGGTAACGAAAACAAAGAAACAAATAAAAAAAACACTACATAAGAACACATATCATTAGCCTTACCTTCTGTATCTTATTTTCAAGGTGAAAATTAGAAGTACGTTTACGTACTTCGTGAATGAAAAAAGGTGATTAAAACT